AAATACCAAGTAGTTGGTTAATCTGTTACAATTCTTCCCTTACCAGAAATAGGAAATGAATACATTTCCCAAAATTCACATAAAACTTTTTTGGTGCTGATGTGCAATTATAATATAGACACTTAGGGATTTTGTAAAGAATACAGGACACCTAGGGCTGGTTGACAAAAAAAGACTAACATACTCTGGAAATTCCTTTTTAAAAGGTCCCGACTCAAAAAGAAAAAGATAAAATACGTCTGAGGAATTGCAAAGGAAGTTATTCCACACAACCACCTTTCCATACAAACAGGAAAGAGCATGTGCATGCAGACACACACACACACACACACACACACAGAGAGAGAGAGAGAGAGAAAAAAAAAACTGTGAAGGTATAACCAATAGCAGTTTAAAAGCTTTTTCACCAACCCCTAAGTCAACTCAAACTATTATAAATAAATCAAGACTTATAAATGACATCTAAATAATAACATATGTGTAGAATCAGGTGAAGATAATCTCTTATCTGTGCATTGAATAAAAAAAGGCAAATATTGGGTGTAGTTGCAGCCCAGCAGTTATGTTCCTATCTGACAAGCATAAGACTCTCAGTTCCAACAAAATCAGTAACGGCAACTGGAAAACCAATCCTGAAATTTTCATGAAAACAGAATATCACTAAGCAATGAGAAATAACAGATGACAGATGCGTCATATACCAGAATTGTGTAAAACTAGCAATGGCAATGTCACCTTCTCTCTTACACCATGTATCCAATTTAAGCACAGAAGACCGTCTAGTGGTTATCACTGTTGAATTTTAAGAGAGACACATCTCTTGACACTGAATGCAGCGCTACCTAGAAACATGTTATACTCCTGAAGAAGTGTCAATCCTTTTTTTATTTATTTACATCCAGGATTGAATGAATTTCAAAGTTAAATAATAATATTTGCTATAAACACTGAAACTTTATACCAGATTTTGTAGAAGTTTCATGTAAATGATGATGACATACAAATGAAACAATTAGAAATCCCTGATGAACCTTCATCAGATTTCCTTAAGATTTTCTATATTCTATAGTCACCCTAAGAGATCTTGTTACATTTCTAATGCATCAGAAATTGATACAAATTCAGCAACACTTTTCTTATTATTTCTGTTCATTGTTATGAAAGTATTCCTAGTCCTTCACTGAAACATCACTATTCTGTTTCTATGCAGAATTCTTTCTCCAGATGTGTGTATTTAATGGACCTCCTCTTTTGACTTTCTCTGACTTTGATACTTAAAAGTAAATGCTTACCTGAACTGTTCTCATTGAAGAATTTTCAAGTCACTGTACAGCTCCTGACTTTACAACCAACACTTTTAAAATGGGATGCAATCCAATCCTGAGATAAATATTCATAGAGCTATGACCTCAAATCCCTTCAGAAATGCAAACTTCATCTCACCTGCAATGACATTGACAACTCTTGCTTTGAGAGTGGAGTACTTTTCTAATGTTTTTACAGGTACTAATTACAGAAGACATTATTGAATTTCTTGTATGTGTCTCCAGTGAAACAAAGTGTTTGGAAAGGCTTTTATGTTTTTATGATTTCTAATAGCTGTTTTTAGGAAAGATACACTGAATATCAAAGTCTCATGTGTTAGAGTCTCACAAGAAAGTTTGTATATCTCTTTCATTGGGGCCAATATTCTCTAGGTTCTTCTAAATAAGCAAGTACATTGTTAATTTTTGGATCTTGGTGCTGTTCTCTTTTAGATTTATGAAAAGAACACAGTCAGGAATTCTAGGATTTCCAGTGAAGCACAAGTAAAAGGAAGAACATGACATCGCAATCCACACTAGAAATCAGTGTCTTTTTTATTCTTTATGAACTGGGTGCAAATAACATAGAAATAATGATATGTCCATATGCTATGAATTACGGTTTTAGCTCCAGGAATGACTAGAATTCTGAACAAATGCTTATTATAGAGGAACTCTGTCTATGTAACCATTCCTCAAAAAATGACCTCACTTTTATCCATTATATATCACAAGCCCCAATACTTCCTTTTCCTGAAAGTACTGAATAGAAACTGAAGGAAGCTATAGTCATGTTTGACTGAAAAAAATAAGGAGCATTCCTTTTCTATCATTTAATGGAGGAACATAAATTAAAAGTTGAAAACTTATCATCTGTCCACTACCCATCTCCCCTTGAGGATTTTAGGCAAACATAGAAATGATAGAAATAAAATCCAGATGAGATGACCATACATTCTACCAACCTGATATCCTTTTGTTTACAGATTTCTCATGATTAATTAAATCCCTAAAATAAGTTAGAAAAATGAAAAGCTACTGTGTCTAATTATTATGAAAAATATAATTCTCATAATGGATTGAATAGAAGAAGATACAGTAGAATCATAGAAAATAATTTGTGCTTTATAGAAAAATACTCCTGTCCTGATAGGCACATTGTCTACCAATTGTTTATATATCTGCTTGAGACACATCAGGTTTATAAGTAGAGTAAAGATATTTTTAGCACTTGTAGTTACAAAGGTCAATATTGTTCTGTGGTGAGGCACACAGTTTTACCCTTTGAGGAAACACAATAACTATGGATAGATGGTGTAAGTCAAATATGATGAGGGGCTGAGAGGCTCACAAAACCTCAGAATTGTTAAACCCTATCAATCTGGTAGATTCAGACTCTTTGGGTCTATCAATCATTGTCTAGTTAGTCCTGGACCTCTAGCTATTTAAGACATCACAGAATTCAATAATAATAATTCAATTCTAGAAAAAAGTAGCCTGAAAGGGAGCCTTTTAGCTGACAGTTCAGGGGAGAGTTCTTGGTTGAGGAAAAGGAACAAAATAAAGATGTCGCTGTGGCTGATGGGAGTAGGTAAAGAGAAGAGGTCTTGATGTTTGAAACAGGAGGTCTGAAAATGTGACCACACAGCAGAAGAGTCCAGAGTCCAGAGAAGCATGGTAGGTAAGCATAGAACCTATGAATATATTTCTTTTATATGTTCAAGTAAATTTGAACAGTAACATTCTTTACCCATTATCCTATTGCTGCAAAACAATACCATGATCTAGGCAACATACAGTAAATAATGCACTTAATAATAGGGCGTTTGCTTATGCCTTTATAAGGTTAGTTCATTATCATTATTGTGGATAATTTGGTGGCAAGCAGACATGTGCTGGAGAAGTAGCTGAGAGATTTACATGCTAATCTTCAGGCAGCAGGCAGTAATAAGGAGAGAATAGTCTGATGTGGACTTTTGAGTTCTCAACACCTGCCACCACTGACATACTTCCTTCCACAAGTTTATACTCCTAAAAAATCATACCTCCTATTCTTTCTAAGCTATGCTTTTGGAGTAGTTCACCAACATTGAGTTAAGTTTGTGAATATATGAGCCTATTGGAGTAATTTTTATTAAAATAACTTCACCATGTATTACCTTATTCATTTTAATTAAACATAAAATTGTCCATCCCTCCCCCCCCCCAAGGTCCAAATGAGGAGCAGAAGGAGGAAGAAAATGAAAAAGGAAATCAGGACTGCGAGGGATGCTATCACCCACTGATACAAGGGGACGGATCTAATGAGAGTTTACCAAGGCCAGTTGGACTGGGACTGAACGAGGACGCAATCCAACCAGATTCTCTGAATGTGGCTGGCCCGGAGTCTTTCTGAAAAGCCATTGACTATGGCACTGGGACTTGTTTCCTCTGCATATACTGGATTTTGCGGATCCAGTCCGTCTGGACACTCACCTTCCTGGACCTGGAGGGAGGCGGGAGGAACTTGAACTTCCCACTGGGCAGGAAACCCTGACTGCTCTTAGGGATGGAGAGGGAGGAGGAGAAGGAGTGGGTGGAGTGGGAGGGTGGTGGAAGGAGGGGCGGAAATGGAAACTTTTATAATCTAATAAAATTACAAAAAAAATTGTCCATTACCACACTAAATGAAACATTTATAAACATTGAAATATGCAATGTATACCTAATATCTTAAATATATGATAAGTTTTGGTAAGCCATATAATGCTCAGAGTTTATATCACCTGATATGGAGAAATCTGCTTGGGAACCTTAGGTTGGAGAGTAAACCAAACTGCTCTAGACATTGGATGGTAGCAATAACTTATAGACATCCCAGCAGAGATGTTTAGGACCAGCATGAACACAGGATTATGTAGTTCTTAGATAACTATCTGTATGGAAGGGGAATGTAGACAGTGTAAGTATTTTATACAAATAATTTAATTCATCAAAAAGAAAAAGGAAGTGCATGTGATTAGTACCAGATGAATTTAATGTACTAAGACTTGTGGCACTCCATGTTTAGAGAAACGAGTATTTTCACAATCAGCTTTATCTTTTACTGGTCTGAAAGTCATTCCAAACTGTCCACTCGAATTTTTTCAACTGAACCATTCCTTCACAACCCACAAAGATCAACAACATGTTGCCTTTTATTTCAATGAAATAAGCAGCTTCTAAAAAAACATTGTATGAAATTTGAAAGGTTAGTTAAATAACAGAAGGAAATGTTTGCAAAATTGTATCTGGATTTTATGTTACAGTCTCAAATTATTTCATTGCAGTCTTAAATATTAAGATTAAGAAAATGAACAATCATGTCTACATTGGCAGAAAATAACATTTAATATTTTTCTCTAGAGTAAAATCTTTGAACATATATAAGAAAGGTGATGGGTTTAGGATAGTATTATTCTTCTTCTATACACATCATTCAATGCTTTTATATTTTATCATGCCTCAAAGTTTTGCCACATTTCATTTCACTATTTTTCAAAGTTCATCATCAAACTTTAATGAGTAGTCCATATGTTCTTTTCTGTTTACCCTCTCTATCTATTTCCAGCATGATCCAATTTTTTAGTGAGCTTTCTAGTGAAGTTTTTGTCTTAAAAATTTTTAAGTCGATTAGAGGGAGGAGAGGCAACACTCCCCTGGCCTCGGGTGCCTGACATGGTGACTGGGGCCCTTCATTCTGGGACTTTCTCTCGGGCCTCTCGGGTCTCGGCCGCGGAGGACACGGCAGGCACAGGGCTCGGAGGACGCGTGAAGAGCCGGGCCCGGGGCGGAGAGGGCGACGCGGCAGAGGCGGCTCAGCAAGGCACTGAGCTCGGGCGGCGGGGCAGCAGCGACATGGTTGTGGCCCGCGGCGGGGCGGTGGCGGGCCGAGCCTACTCCTTCAAGGTGGTACACCTTGGGGAAGGCTGCTTGGGGAAGACGTCGCTGGTGCTGCGCTACTGCGAGAACAAGTTCAACGACAAGCACATCACCACCCTGCAGGCATCTTTCTTAACAAAGAAGTTAAATATTGGTGGGAAAAGAGTAAACCTTGCCATATGGGATACAGCAGGTCAAGAGAGATTCCATGCATTGGGTCCAATTTACTACCGCGACTCGAACGGAGCTATTTTAGTTTATGATATAACGGATGAAGATTCTTTTCAGAAGGTAAAAAACTGGGTCAAAGAGCTACGGAAAATTTTGAGAAATGAAATCTGTTTGCGTATAGTTGGTAATAAAATAGACTTGGAAAAGGAGAGACATGTTTCCATCCAAGAAGCAGAGTCGTACGCAGATTCTGTTGGAGCAAAACATTATCATACTTCTGCTAAACAAAACAAAGGAATCGAGGAGCTCTTCCTTGACCTCTGTATCGAGGAACTCTTCCTTGACCTCTGTAAAAGAAAGAAACGGCACAAGTGGACGAGAGAGCTAAAGGCAATGGCGCTAGTCAAGGTGGGGCTGCTAGGCGAGGCGTGCAGATCATCGAAGATGAACCTCAAGCTCAGAGCGGTAGTGGAGGGTGCTGCTCTTCTGGATAACTGCTCACGCCTATGAAACTCAAAACAAAACGGAACTGTGGATCATTGCCCTGAACATGAAGACTGCCATATTCCAAGTCACGTCATTTTACCAATGGAGTTATAGAATTAACAGTATTTAAAATTACGTTAATAACACTGCAGAGACCTTAAGTGCTAAACTTAGTGGAGTTTGTGACCAGAGAATTGGCATTTTTTTACAAATGTTAACAAAGCAATTACCAATGGCCTTTTTACATATTTTTTCTTTAATGAGGAATAATATGCATGTATAAAAGACCTACTTAAAGGCATCATTTATATTCTTTTAAATCAGATCTTTATTTAATAACTTATATATGATGTTGGAATGGTATACATTTTTGCAGTCCTTTGTATTTTGTGGTAGTTTGAATTGTATCACTTCTAAGCAGCATACTGTTTTTGTTTTTGTTTTTGATTAGCAGATACCTGAAGTTCTATTTTTGCAGGGTTTGCACAGGGCCCTGTCTACTACTTTGATATAATCTATAAACATCCTGTATGCTGAGCTGGTAAAATATATTGTAAATTACATATTAAATATTTTATCTGCTTTTATAAGTGCAAGGTGCAAGACTATATACAATTATTGGAGACTGTAAAGGGAGTTACTTGTTGGTGATAATACCTAAGCTTTTTGATGCTCTTATAACGATCACCACCTCCTTCACTTGTCTTAATGTGGAAGTGCTGTGTTTAAATTTACACATACTTTACTTGAATTATTACTGTTGTCATTTTTTTCTTTTTTTCCTTTTCATTTTCCTTTTTTTTTGCCTCTGTACATCCCAGTGATCAAAAAGCAGCATTTGCCTTTTTAGTATTATTATTGTTAACCAAGATTTCTCCTACCAATTTTGCTTTAGAACAGTTTACCTTAGAAGAATTTGAGTGGAGCTTGCCAAGTTTCACTTCTGTGACAACTTGAGTTTTTTTATAGGGCTTTCCATGAGATGGGTTCACTGGCTTGAGAAGAGGGGTCCCAGGTAGTAGCACTGACCAAGGCTTATTTATATAGCATGTTGAGTGGTGATTGATGCTCCCAAGGCAGCACTTCTGGATTTCTTAGGATGTTTTATTGCTCATTGCTTGTCAGAAATGAATATAAAAATCAGTATTTCATTTTATAATAATTATTTGAGTTCTTATGGGAAGAAGCATTTTATAGTACAGTTACATCAATGCTGGTAAGATTTATTATAAAATCATATTCTTGTTTATTTTATAATTAGTCCCACATTGAATTTTTTAAATTTTTTTTAGCATTAGACTGAAATTTGTTCATTTAAAAAAAATCAGGCACTGCTCACAGGAGAAAGAGATTGTGGACATTAACATAAATTGTTCTTGTTCTAATATATCTATTTTCCCATTTCTGTCATGCTTGGAAAACTAGTAAATGTTGTGATAAGATAAGATGGAATGGTCCCTGAATTTACTTTTTCTAGGATTAGAATATAGTAACACAATTAGTAAGCATTTCTGAAAATACAAGGAGGTGATGGTCACTAAGTCAATACTACCATTTTCTTAGGACTAACTAAACCTAGACTGAAAGTGGAATGACTTGACACCTTACCATCTAGATAGTAGGAATTTAACTTAGTATTGTGTTCTCTGAGCCCTCTGTTCAGATCACTTACTTATCCACCTTGCCTGATTTCAATCACTGACTCTTTGCTATGTGCCTGAAGATGGTCGAATGGAAAGGGTCAAGAGAGTGAGCTGCAGCTGTGTCCCATTGCAGGCTTCTTGTGCTGTGCCATTCCTAGGTTCCTGTGGAGTTTGTTTATGCAGGGGCAGAAGGGGCAGCAGAAACTATGAGTCATTGGAGAATTTGTCCCTATGCTCTGGCTTTTTCAAGAGTAAAGACTGCTGTCAATCCTACTATTGTAGATAGGAAATATACTTGCCTCATTGAAATAGAATACTGTTTTTTTTTTAACTAGAGATGGAATTAAGCTAAGTTAAACTTGATCGTTGGAGACCTGTGCTTGAGTTTTTCACTCTCAATTCCATATAGGAGCCTCCATCTGGAGTTGCAGGTAATTATTCCTGGGGTAACTATCCTCTGTATTGTCCTTTACCACCGTAAACGTTTCATTCTCTCTTTAAGCCTATGATCCACGCTAATTCAATAACAAAGATAGGTAATACAGTATACCTGCTGTGCTCCGAATCATACAAGAGCTTAAGTGGAATGAGCTGAAAGAAGAGTGTGTGCATAAGGGAAAGATAGAGCGATAGCAGGCTGAGACTAGCAAGGATTTCCTGGCACTATCTTCTTCCCATTCTATCTGTGTCCCTCGCCCAATAATTGTGCTACTAGGAAAAGGCACAAGGCACCGTGTGGTATGTATTGAAAGTAGATGCTAGATGGGATTCTCCACAAGTGGATACATGTCACATAACCTAAAGTTAGTTTAAGACAGTCATTAATTTCATTAAGTATACAATCACCATTTATGTAATGAGTAGCTTGCTGCTTGTTTTTGCTTTATGTTTATGGAAGGATGTTTTTAAAAAATGTATTCTGCAACAGTTGGGGATAAGCAGTAATCTGAAAAGAAACGAGTATCATCTTGTTATATGAAATATACATGCTTGTTGTGTTTCAAAAAAAGTTTTAAGTTTGATTTTTCTTCTACTATTTTTTTAATTTTATTTTTCATATATTATAATGATTTTTGCTTTTCATTCTTCTGTTTTACTTGTATTTTTAAGGTTACTCATATTTTCTTTGAGTTGCCTAAGTATACTTCTAATCATTCTTCTGTATTCCTTGACCAGACGTTCTTCCAGACCACTTTCATTAGAAATCATTACCATAAGATTAGTCATTTTTGGAAGAATTATGCTGAATTTTTCATGTTGCTCTTTTTTTCTGTGCTAGAACTTAAAAAGTATGAGTGTGTTGACTTTTCCTTTGATCCTAGCACTCTGGAGGTAGAGGCAGGCAATGAGTTTAAGGCTAGCCCAATCTATATATCTAGTTCCTGTTATAGTATTTAGGCATCTGTATTGGCCTTCGCTTGGGGTCCTGTCATGTTATATCCTCAGCTGCAGCCACTAAGAGCACCTCCTGTGCACATTCACTACTTTTAAATGATGGGCCTTGACCATCTCCCATTTCTTTAGTTTTGTTCTCTGTCTGTTCCTTTCTCTCTCTACTTCTTTGCCTGTATCTCCGTCTCCCCTCCCCTCTCTCTGCCTCTCTTTTCTCTTCTGCTGCTCCTATTCCCAGAAGTTGATCTGTCCCTTCCTTTCCTCCCCTCTTTTCCATTCTTTTACCTAATAAAAAACACCCCACATAAAAATAAAAATATGAGTGTGTTGACTTTTTCCTCTTGATTGAAAACTTCTTTTCTCTTTCAGTGGAAGCATTTATAATATTCTGGATGGGACTACCTCATACAGGAGTTTATATGTATCTTTTCTATTCTCTGTTGCTCTGGTTAGGGCTACAGTCTCTATCACAATTCTTCCTCTTTATATCACTTACTCTCTCATGTCTGATATCATTGAGCCAGGTTCCTTATGCAATTTCCTTAGTTGCTTTAACTGGCTCCTGTTCTCACTGTCATATGGGGAGATAATGGTCCCTGGCAGGCAGCTATCACTGTTTTATATTCATGATCAATATAGGAGCAGGAGAAACTTATTCAGCATCAGGCAATGCAGGGAAATTGTGAATTTTTTAAGTAAAGGGGAGCAAGAACCCAAGACTTTAACTTGATTTGCAATGTTTTAAGTAATTATTCATAGAAAAAGAGCAAAGAAAAGCATCCAGGTACTGAATTGTACCCAAAGAAAATACTTAGAATAGATGTGCATGGAGGTTTGGGCACAGGGTCCTAGACACAAAATGATTGGGGCTTTCCCCATGAGAAAAAAAAGGGAGAATGTGTACCAAGTCCTGGATAAACAGTGAGAGTTGCTTGAAAAGGAGGAGCGTGATGTGGGATTTCCTCTGTATACTATGAATATGTTTTATTACCATTGGTTAATAAGAAGCTACTTTGGCTTATGACAGGGTAGAATCTCAGTAGGTGGGAAAACAAAATTGAATGCAGGGAGAATGAAGGTAGAGTTAGGGAGTAGCCATATAACTGCCCAAGAAGCTGGATCTGAGGTCCCAAACCTCAAACTCTTGATAAAATATAAAATGATAGAGTGGATTAATTTAAGATATAAGAGTTAGTTCATAAGAAGACTGAGGTAACAGGCCAAAGAGTATGTAACTAATATTAAGCCTCAGAATATTTATTTCATAAACAGACTCAGGAGTTAGGAGCAGACCCAGTGAGTAGAGGGGAAACTGGTCCAGGGAGACCATCAGAATGAAGAATATTTGTAGTTACAGGTGTGAGTTCCATACTTGGGTCTTTTGGCCACTGTAGAAAGGATGTACAGTTTCAGATAACCACAGATATGTACCTTGGTCTGAGGGATGTGGACCATGAGAAGTAGGTGTGAAGTTTTTCTTTGTTCTGTGCCCAGTGGAGGATCCTAGGGTTCAGACTACCAGGATCTTGGGAAATCCTGGATAGGTTGTTGGGTGAAAAGAGAGTCCACATATATATATTTTCATCTCCATGCCTCATGGGCTATCAGGAAGATCACTGGCAGACATTCGGCAAGACTTCACTGGATAACAAATGAAAATGAATCATGAGTAAAATCTTCCAGAGCTCATATGCCCAACATATCATCTTGTTCAGTCTTCCCTAGTTAATTTTAATATTGTTGTTATTTTAAAAAAGTATGACCAAAAGCAACTTCATGAGGGAAGTGCTTATTTGGCTTATGCTTCCTTATCAGCTTCATTATTGATTGAATTCAGGAACTCAAACAAGACAGAAACCTGGAGGCAGGTGCTAATACAAAACCCATGAAGGAATGTTGTTTACTGATTAAGACTTCATGGTTTGCTCAGCCTGCTTGCCAATAAACAACAGGGCCACTAGACCAAAGGATTTCCCACTCAAAA